TTTTCAAGCCCAACACCAGGATTTTATTGGAGCGTCCCACAATTACCCCCGCATTTTTACAATTTTGTTGAATCATTGTTATTTATCTCACCGTCATCATAGATGTTTTGCAGCTGTTCCCTGGGGAACGATTGGACGCCTTTCTTTCAGAAAGAATGAGGCTAGCGGCTAAAGAGGTCGATAACATCACTTTTGAACTAGTTGTAGTCTTCAAATTTTCTCTCCTACAAACGCTGCTTCAGAGCGCGGAAGAGATGATAATCCGGGAGCAATACAAAAGCTGAACGTTGTACCGTGGTTCATCGCACTTTCTTCAAAAAATTGCGAAGTAACTTTGCAATGTGAGATCGAGCGTTATTTTGAAGAAGAGCGACAGTAAGTCGTTTCAGACGCTTCACTTGCACTGCTGCGGCCAGCTTTCGCAGTTGTTCCTCGTAGACGTCAAGATTGATTGTCGTGTTGCGCAATCTTCCGAGCATGGAATCTGGCATTTGATTGAGCTAGGCAGTCATTACCTCGAGATAGACAATGGGTATGGCCCGTGTTGTTCACGTAGTAGACACGAGTGATCTCTAGTGATTTCAGAAAGCCTTGCCTGTGCTGTCGCAACGGAAGACTTTTACAGATGATCACGCGTAAGGCGCGGTCGTGGACGATCAGTGCATGAAGTGTCCATCGAGACAGCGCAATGCTTTCATGCTTTACAATAGCCCTTTTATGCTTTCATAGCCCACACCTTTTACAGCTTTGTATCCCCTGACTAAGGCTAGAAAGATATTCACCAACGTACCACAGCTTCTTGGCAGTAATCCGATTCGAAATAGAAAGAAAAACGGAATAAAAGAGTAATGAGAACAAAATGATGGGAAAACTCAATTTGAAAACTTCGTGTTTGGCTTGTAAAGGAAAAACTTCGAAAAAGCATTTAATTCGCCTTAACGATAAACGCGGCGGTTGCATGAAACGTAGTGTGGTATACCTACTCTCTTGTAAGACGTCGGGTAGACCACTCTGCGTCCGTATGAAAAAACACTTTGCTGGAAGAAGAATCAAGTCAAGCAAAACACTTCACTAGGCACCTATGTGGAACGAAAACACACGGAGATAATTTGTACCTAGATTTCAGTGTCCCGTGCAAGAATTTAGAACATCTACGCGGAAAACTCTTGAAGCTTTTTGGGAACCATGAGGATTGTCACGCCTGGCGTTACCCCATACCTCAGGTTTTTTTTTTCTCTCCTGAGCCAGGCACATTCTCACCAAATACTGGACTCTGAGTGGTTGTCTTCAATGATTAATTACAAGGCTTCAAAACAACTAAATGGCAAGTGTTCTAAAAGGAAGCTTTTTGCATTGCGATTCAAGATTTTGTTTACGACGTCTTTCTGCCGTGGTTATGAAATAACTGACTGAGCAGATTGCGAATCAATTTGACTTTTCTGAGCTAGTGAATAAGGCAAAACTGCCGAAATGTCAGTCATCGTATTATTATTGGGCTGTATTATTGTATACAATGAGAACACAGCCTCGAATTTGCTCATCAAGACTGATGCTGAATCAGATGACAAGCAAATAATGCGCAAAGTATTCGAAATCGACTTTCCTCTAATCTTGGCTTTACCAATCATTAATAGCCTTTTTTTCCCTGTGGAGCAACTATCTCGTTCATCAGTCCGGAGCTGCCGAATTTGCTCCAGACTCTTATAGAGGGTAAAAACACCGACATTATAGATCGGCAGGCATTGTAATTCAACGGCCAAATTTCCATCAAATAACCTCCACGAATGGAGTCGAATTCATTGTGCAGTTTAGGTCATCATTGCCGAATACTTTGCATAATAATGATTTCATTTATGATCAAGCTAAGTACCACAAAGTATACAATAAACTATATCCGCATTACGTGTTAATGTCTTCTCTTCTTCAGAACCGATGATCCGGCAATCTGTTGAATACTAGCGAAACATAAAACATTACAATTCGTAAACTGTACTCTTATTGTTGTATGCTTCGCTAGTATTCAATAATTAATATCAATAACAAATAGATACTCATTGATGTAGAGTGATGTGCAAAATTTCCGCGTCAGGCGGGACTAGAACCCGCACCTCACTCTTTCCGGGAATGCGTGCTCTATCCTTTACACTACTGAAGCCCATTTTGCACATCGCTTTTTCTACTCAACAGCCGCATCTAATATCTATAACACCTTGGAACGGCTAAACAGAAGAAAATACTCATCTATTCAAACTATGCCGAGGTTGATAGATAGTCGATCTTGAAATCCGGCAATCATTGAGCAATCGACTTACTAGCTTAATCATGGATAGATGATTGAAATGCAAGGTGTTTAGCACTGAATCCTTGCAGAGCACAATGAGTCGATTTCATTCGTGGAAGCTATTGAATGTTAATTTGGCCGATGACTTTCGAGTGCCTACCGATCTATAAGGTCGGCGCTCTGCTTCGGTTACAAAAGTATTTGACTGAGTAGACTACATGTCAGTTTAACTCTTGCAAATTCTGAAGAAGGCGAAAGTCACCGAAACATCAACCATTGCAAATCTATTTGTACTGTTTATTGCTGGATAATTAGTCTATTAACGAATTCCCGTCCGCTGAATAAAAATAATTGCGGAATTATGCGATCATTTTCAAGGTTAATGGATTGCCTGTCTTGTGAAATGATGAACGCTCTCAAGTTTCAGAAGTGCACTGCAAATTAGCTTACATGCTACTTCGTCAAACTATTGTTTTCTGAAAATAATATCTGATATCACCTTTATTCTTGAAATGTCATGCCTTAGCTCAGAAAATCTTTTTCAAATTGATAACAAAATGGTTGGAATGTACATAATTCTGAGGATGAGAAACACGTTTTCATGCCAACAACTTGAAATTATGTTTAACCGAAGACCATGGAATTACTGAAGACAGTCAGGGCATTGGCTTGGCTCCTGATGCTTTCATTGCGCATAAATTCTCCGAAAAGCTCGTAGAAGTGGTAGCTGGTAGGCGAGGAGATCTACCTGGTATGCTGGCCAGGACAAAGTTTAGCAATGTTAGTAACATCTGCAGCGTCGCCAGTGCGTTATATGGTTGCGAGGAGAAGGACTGGTGCCGTTCTGTCGACCTATGCGAGACACATTCGTCTTTTTGGTGAATTCTGTCGATTTTCTGAACCTTTTTCTTTGCCGTAATCGTTTCACCCAGATTTAGCATGTTGTGGTCGATTGGACCCACACCAAACTATCAAATTACCGCCATATGGAGCATCATGTACTGATATAGAGATGTCCCCGATTATGGGGAACACATTTTACCTTTCTGTACGATCTTGCTTTCCTACCTGGATTCGAACTTCCGTAATCTTTTGTAAATCAAAGTTTCAACATGTTGACTTGCCTGAGCCGCCATGACGCATCATCCATTTCGAGACGATGAATAGGTGTCACTTTTCAATGTCGGAGGCATTTCTCCTCATTTCTTCCTCCTTAGTAATCTCTTCCAACTCTTCACAGTAGAGCAATGATTTCGTTGTCATATCTCACTTATTTCTTGCAATACTTCATCACTCAGGGGGTTAAAATTTCTTTGTGTTGTTATTCATCATCTCCCTCTCATATCATTTTCTGCATATTGAATTTCCATTGATTCACTTTGTCATATAATCTTTGCATACCAGTTTTTATTGAGTATTTCAATTTCGCTTTTTGAATATCATTATATTAGCGCATTATTGATCAAAATTAAGATCGAAAGCTGCTCCCTCTCTCATCTGTAAGCCCCCACTGCCACGCCATCTTCGACTTAGATACATAAGTCAGCCAACACAACGTCACGCCAACGTCGATCGCAAAGGTTTGATGACTTGCAGCTGATAGGCGGTTTTGTGGATCAAAGAAAAAATTTGCTTCAACAGAAACATTTGCACATTTTGTCATGCTTTCGTTTTCTCTGTATAGCATCTAATATAATCGTATCGTGGCCATGTAACAATCGATAAGAATAGCCTAAATTTGGTATTTTTAAACACTGCTTCACACACGCTCCATATCAAAGTAAAATTCCCTAATAAGAATCAAAAAATAAGTATTTGTAAGCTTCTATAAGAAAAGACTATTCCGTAGCAGCGAAGTTTGCAATATTGGTGGCGAAGAAGTTGTTGAAGGTAAATTCTGCCTAGGCTTGGTATCTGAGCATTTCTCCTATAGGAGATAGTTAAGATCCTTGAAAAGTGGTGGGCGGTAGGCGATAGGTTCAACGAGTATTATGGATCAGGAATAGTTTCATAATCCGGCTTCTTCAACTTCTAGAGAGTCTTTTGCGCGAAACGCTGCCTGTGCGTCGGGCATGCCAATTTGTAAAGCATCCATTTGTAGAGCGTTCTTCGCTAACGAACTTTTTTCAATGCTCAGAAAACGGCCAAAATGCTCATATCACACTTTTCTTCAAACTATCGAACAGTTTAAGCGTGTGTTTGTTTTTCTCAAATCCTCAATTTAGCCGATACGTGTAGGGCGAGACATCCGGCACGCGTGTATGGCTGTGGCATACTAAACCTCGTGTAAGGCTTTGAACATTCTTGAAAATTATATCGAATGTTTGTTGCGAGGTTGTTGAAAACAGTCGATGTCTTGCCCTCAATTTAGAATCATGAGTGGCAGAACGGCGTTTACGACCTCTTTTCAGGTTGATGGTCGAATTCACTAAAAAAAAAAAAATTTCCCATACCAACACTACACAGTGCATTGGTCAACATTTTTCCTACGCGATATCACACTGATTTTTTCAGCTATTAATGCTATGTAAATGCAAGTTCTGAACTCGTAGAGTGGATTTGCCAAAGTTTCTGTTCTGACATCCAAAATTATAACTCTACAGAATTATCGAAAACAAAATTATATCGATAATCAGTCTAAATTCTTTCTATTTTGACTGCCATTTGCAGTGGTATGATCTTATAGTATACCCAATATGGAGTGCTGTGCAAAAACGTTTGCGTCAGCCGAGATTCGAACCCAGATCTCACTCTTTCCGGGAGCGTATGGTAACCACTGCCACTACCGACGCTCGCTTTGCACAGCACTCTTATTTACGCTACAACGCGTTGCCTGCCAACAGCCAACCGTCGACGCTCCCGGAAGAGTGAGATCTGGGTTCGAATCCCTGCTGACGCACGTTTTTGCACAAAATTATATTGAGAAGACTTATGCGAAGCGGAAAGTGCAATAAGTTAACCTTGTAAAGTGTTTGATGGTATGGGCTTTTGCAAAGGAAGTTATAGCTGAAACACTCACAAGAAAAACTAATCATTGATCCGGACATTAATTCTAGAAAATCCAGTGGGAACAAACGACCTGATTTTAAAACATTTGGCACAGACTGCAAGCACTATCTCCTTAGGGGATGAAAATCACTAACTAATTATGACATAAAAAACACAAGAAGAGTAGCAGCAAGAGAAATCGTGCCTTTCCAGTCAACGAATACTTACTAGGTTTGTCTAAGAAAAGCTCACTCAAGTCCGCATAAAAATGTTTCGCTCTAACACAGTTATAACACTTTCAAAGAAAGTTAAGCAACTCAACGAGTAAACGTTGATAAAGCCTTCGAAAAGGAGTTGAATCTACGCAAAGTCTGAGGACCTTCATAAACAGCGGATGCGGGGAAACGATTTGATTGAGAGAAATGGAGTTCACCCAGTTTGTGACTCATCTGTTTTTTCTCTCGACCCGTCAATTGTCGGATCGCGTGCAAAAGTGGTCTAGTGGATTCTCTACGTCTAGGAACTCGTGAAGCATTATCTTCCTTCTCCTAGATTTTCGTGAAGATCGTACAATCGGTTTGGTAATCTCCTGTGGTGCGTTTGAAATCCCGAAGTATCCATTCGGCTTCAGCCCAATTTATCATCGCTAGCCTGACGTGTAAAATGGCGTTTTTTGAATTTCGATCAGTGACGTAGACCATAAATTCACATCCTTTTTCTCGCATGCGAAATTCGGTATCCTCCTAAGAACTGACTTTTCGACTTCACGTAAGTATAGCCAAGTTATTTTCTTACTGCTTATGTAGCGACTTTATAAGCTTTATAAAGATTTCACAACCAGAATATCTCCATTCTACAACAATATCACCATTGACGTAAGAAGAGGGGTTCGACAAGGCGATACAATATCGCCAAAACTATTCACTGCCACCCTGCAAAACGTCATGCGAACATTAGAATGGGACGAAATGGGAGTGAAAATTGACGGTCGACAATTAAACCATCTTCGCTTTGCTGACGATATCGTTCTCATAAGATCAAACATCAGCCAAGCGGAACGAATGTTGACTGATTTCGATAACGCCTGTGGAAAGATCGGTCTTCAACTGAATCTAACGAAAACAATGTTCATGAGGAACGGATGGGTTTCTAATTCCCCATTCACGCTCAACGGAACGACAATTTCCGAATGCTCCAGTTACATCTATCTAGGTCGTGAAATCAACATGATGAACGACCTAGCCCCAGAGTTGAGCAGGAGGAAACGAGCGGCTTGGGGAACGTTTAAGAGCATCGAAGATGTAGTGAAGAGGACAAAGAACATCCGACTCCGTGCCCACCTTTTCGACTCGACAATTATCCCTGCCCTAACGTATGCAGCAGAAACCTGGTCGCTACGTAAGCAGGATGAAAGATCACTTGCCGTTATCGAACGCGCAGTCGAAAGGTCGATGCTAGGAGTATCCGTATTTCGCAAATGAGACAAAGGATCCGAACTTCCGACCTACGTCAACGATCGAAAATCAGAGACGCCGTTCTACACGCCAGGATATCGAAAATAAGGTGGGCCGGACACGTGATGCGCTTCAACGACAACCGATGGACGAGAGCCTTTACCGACTGGATTCCTCGGGACGTCAAGCGCTCTAAAGGAAGACCACTGACCCGTTGGTCCGATTTCTTCACGAAAGCGATGGAAGAAAGATATGATGCTCAGCGAATTCCTAGAGCAAGGAGGACCCACTGGGCTACTCTTGCACGCGATAGGGAAAAATGGAAGAGTTGCTGGTACCCGCTCGAGTCACTCGACGATCAACGGGACGACAGGTGATACAGGTGATATGTAGCGACTATTTCTATGAATATGCTGAGACAGGGAGGGTCGCTGAGTCAAAAAGTGGGCATGGACTTTTATGTTCTTTGTTCTCCTTAGTACATTCTCGATGCTCTTAAACGCTCCTCAAGCCGCTCGCTTCCTCCTGCTCAACTCTGGAGATAGGCTGTTTATTCCTTTCGTTTTAAGCATTTTTTTGGAAGTAAGCTCAAATTTCGATATGTTTGATAATTATTTTTTGGGTCATGTATGTGGTAGTAGTGTACAACATTGCTCATTCAGTGATATTTCCACGTAGAAGTCCGTGTACATAGTAAGTCTGCGCCTTCGCTATGCACGGTGTTCGGTTTCCCTCGAGAGATTGGGTGAAGACGAAGGGCATTGCCCAACTAACGAGGCTACCAAGGCCGAAATACGTGTTTTGCGCTGTATAAATTTTTTCATAACAGATCACATGCATGGCTCAAGAAAAATTATCAGGCATAGGTCGTTTATCAATTGACTTTCTCAGCTAAATAAACATAACTCTAGCATTCGAAGATATTCAATCCTTTGATATCAAACGGGACATTCCAAATTATTCTGTTTTTTATGAACATCATTTTAGTGAGCATCAGTCGAAGAACAATCTTTAGAAGGCGTCACCGAAATCGGTCAACATTCGTTGACCTAAGTGATGCTTGATGTCATATAAACGGTGTCATCAGCGAGGCCAAGGTAGTCTGATTGTTATCATCGATTCCGCTCCTATGCTATCCCAATGCAGTCTTCATGTAACTTCCTGGAGGGTGGAAGTAAATAGTTTTTGTGATAAGATAACGCCTTTTCAAACCCGTCTTTTAACGTTATCTTTGTCGAGTGGTACTATTTTGGTTTTACTTTATATGTCTTTCAAAAAAGGCTATATGTACTGAATAGAGACGTCCTCGAGGTCCGATCTTCCCTGAGTGCTTCGACCAACTTAGACTTTTCTGTATCGATAAACGTGAAATAAGTGTTCTTGCTATTCCCGTCAAATTCTGATGAATGTTCGTGTCGATGGAGTTGCATTCTATCAATACAAGTTAAGCGGTGAGTGGAAAAAAAGCCAGCCTTGTCGATGTTGTAGTATGTGAAACTTGCAACATAGTATGAATAATTTTTTAAGTGAGAGTAGTCAGTGTGTTTCTAAGATAGAAAGTTCCTTGTGGATTGAAAACTCTCGAGACAATTTCTTCCACATCAGAAGCAGTGATGGCTTTAGTGCTGCCAATATTGCTCTTTTTTGTGTGCCTCTTGATGGTTAGATTGATGAGCACAAACGACGATAAGAACGGAAATTAAGGCACACTGCTTAGCTTTTCTTTCCTAAAAAAAAGCGTTGACCATTGGAAAGTTCTGGGAAATCCAAGTGCACTCAAATAATACTTATCGATAAAGCCCCTTTGATGTTTTTTTCCTGTCAAATGTTACATGAGCTTAAACGCGCCATTTTTGATTTCACGGCTGTGTTCCCTGGGGTGATGAAAAAGCTTGTTTAGAAAAAGTCGTCGATTTCTCAACGAACTCGTGTTCCTTATCAAATTACCCTCATAACAAAGAGAGGATAAACATCTGTCAGACTATAGATCAGTCATGGATTCAAGTAAAAATCCGACTCTTATTTGAAAACAAAATTCAAATGAACTCTTATTGATAATTGCGCTAAATCTTTTGACTTGCGATTAAAATAGACGGATTAGTGAAATCTTATGGCTGCTGTAGAGAAGTGGTGGTATTCCTTCGGACACATCGCTCTTTCAATCAGTGAATTCGTCATCAAAGTATAAGTGCTGCAGTTCAATACTATTTTGCATTAGTGATATTTTTCAGTTGGCATGGGAGCTATCCTGATGGCCTCCGAGAAAGTCATATAGTCGGATTCACGAAATCCTGATATACGGTTTTATTTCTCTTTCATATACCTGTTACTTTTGTACTCAATAACTATCATGCTGCCACAGCGCTCGTAAAATTTACACCCTTGTCGATGCTGGACAATCGAAGTTGTATATTTTGTCAAATTCGTTTATCTGATGCATTGCAGATCTATATGAAAGAGACGATACGATATATATATAATATATATATATATATGTATATAGGTATATAAATGCATTTCTATTTATATATGCGTTTGCAGTATGTCATGGCCTTTTATGCTAAGAGCTGTTTCCTGTTCTAAATTCTGGATGAAAAAGTATATAGTAAATTCTTGTATTCTTGAGAGCAATTTTCTAGCGTTCAGTTATGTGATCTATTTAGTGTTGTGATATAAATTTACACATTCTTTGTGCATAGTCCCGTGAAACCTCCATTGGCCCCCGATACCTCAATTATCTCTATTGGAAAGTAACCTTATACCATT